GGATTATTAAGTGCCAGATATACGGCGTAGGTATTAGAACCTTGACATACTAGACTAAATATATAGTATGTTTCTAGATACCGTACTGTACATACAATTCATGAATGCAAAAAAAGGAGGGCTGTGGAGTCGCGTAAAAATCTACCGACTCCGACTCCGACTTAGACTTTTCTTTACCATCCGACTTCGACTCCGACCAGGGGCGGACTTGTTACGGAAATTCTGACGTCATCACGTGACCTCAGATTAAAAGATTCAATAAATAGAGTTGTAATAAAGATAGAACGTAGAAACTTTTTATTTCAAAGCTAAAAGACTCCTCTAAGTAATATATAAATATGTATTCGATAACTTTTACTTTTCCTGCCGTTATATATAACAGAGGGAAAGTGTAGCGCTTGGTCAAAAAATGACCCCTTTCAAATTTTTAAATTTTGGAGTCGGCACACCTTGAAATTTCGAGATACGCAAAAGATTCGAAGTTTTTTTCTATATGTGCGGACTGTGTATTTGAAACATGATTTTTTTTCACTCTGTTTGAAGCCTAATAATTTCTGTGATCAGAGTGGTTGGAATCGGATTCACGTGGTTTAACACAGGAGTTAATTATTAAGCGTCAAAGTGGTTGAACTAACATCTTAGGCGGCGGCCGGATGCTCGAGCGGTCAAGGTGGCAGACTACCGCTCTGGGAGACTCGGCTCGAATCCGAACGGTTCGGAAAATCCCCAGGAATTTTTCGGAGGGTGGTCCCGTCTCTCACCATCCGGCAGCCCCATTGTGGGCCTGGCCGAACCCATAATGGGCTTGAACTTAGGCGAGGACATCTTAACGGGTTTTACTGTACTATTATAAAACAACAAAAAGTTTACTTTGAGGATAGAGACGAATTTTATTTTATTTTTTAAATTTTGAACGCTAATAACGAGTAAAATATTCATTAAGAGATATGACACACGACCCCTTTTATGTCTTCACCCTGCCGACCTTTAATTAAGAACCAAAATTTAATAGTGTTAATGCCCCTTTATACGCGAGCCGCAGTGCCACATTTCGTTTCTTAAACTGTACCCATTCTGAGATACAGTAATACCCCGACTTACGCGAATTCGACTTACGCGGTTACCGCTCGGTCCCACCTATCGCGTAAGTTCGGGGTATTACTGTATCTCCCCTGAATTTTTATTGACTTTTTTAGGGGTTCGAGAGGTTTCCAAACGTGTAGATTCGCAAAGAAATCCTGGAGGGTCAAATTTGACACGATTCCAATACTTTTCCGTTTTATATACATAACAAGTTGGGAAGTAAAAAGGAATCGGAGTCGGCGGATTTCTTGACGACTCTGGCTAAAATACCAAAACTCCACGACTCCGACTCCGACTCCGCAGCCCTGAAAAAAAAAAAAAGCTTTTATAACAATATCTCAGAACTGAAATATTTTATTCAATAATTGATTCAATACTCTATTTTTACTTATAAAATTGGAGAAAAACAACTAAAGTAAAATGATTTCCGTATTTCTTAAACGGGCGTCTGGAGCCAGCCAGGTTTCCTGTAAAAGTACATCTGCGGTTCACCAACGTTCTGTTGCTATAAGTAATTCCATTTTGGATCTTAACCCACGAGGATTAAGATCCAAAATGTTCCATTAAACGACGCAAAGATGAGAAGGATCTGAATTCGTGTTAGGCATGTAGATAGTTATTTGTTGGTGGGCGCCGACGTAGCTTTACGACCTCTGTGGAGGTGAGAGAATAAAAATCTTTGTTTGAAGCTGCTCTCGTGGTGCTGGGGACGGGACGGCAGTCCACGTCGGACGTTGGAACCGTCTATGTCAGAAACGGTCGGCTCTGGTGTCGGCTGAGGTCTTGAGCTCCATTTCTTTTTAATCTTAGGGGTGGGTGACGACTGGCAGGCTTTCTGGACAGGATGCGGCGTTTGGGCGCCGGAGGCGCAGGCACGATCACTTTTGAATCGGAAGGGTGGTCAGTTGCGCTGGAGGTTGGGATTGGCCTGGCGAATCTGAGGTCCAGGTTCTTGCGCTATTGGCGAATGTCCGCTCGTAGGGCCGCGACTGCTGTCTCTAGGAGCGAGACACGGTCGATGAAGGTTGTGAGGTCTGTAGAATGATCCATCTTTGCTGGAGTTGGAGCTAGCAATGGGCTAGCCATCGGTTGCGGGTCCTCCGAGGAAGCCCTGATCCGGGAGGCTGAGGCCACTCGAGCATACATTTTTGAAGGGTGTTGTACTGAACGTTTTGACTGTGTAAGAACACTACTGAAGTGTACTGACTTTTAGTAGACGTGCCTCCTTCACGTAGGCCGAGCGGTTGGCGGAGTCAGCCCGATTGTCCCCCATATCATACACACACCGGTCCCGCGGAAGTGCAGTCTTCCATGGCGTGATCGTCACCACAGCGGAGGCACCCGCGGCGGCCTAATAAGATGCCGGCGAATGGCCAAAAGAGAGGCAGCGGATACATAACCGCGGTTGGGGAATAAATTCGTCGCAACGGAACCGTTGTAAGTATATTGTTACGTAGTCTACGTGTTGGGTTCCGGCTACCGAATAGACGATAGACAAAATTGACGATTGGGCTCGGGATGACCGAGCCCCCGTCTTTTTGAGTGAAGCGGCGGACCTCTATAACCGGGAGGGTGCTGAGCCGTCAGATGTTCGGACACTTCATGCGCGGTGATGAACGTGTCCACCCCTCGGAAAGGTACACCGTCTAGGCGCAGTCGGGTGCTAGCCGGCCACGGACGTTTTGGCCTTTGAGAGAAGGTATGCGTGGGCCTCTTCGGCGAACTGGTACTCCCTCGTTTTTAAGATTAAAAATCCCCACGTCACGTCCAGTAATCGGTCCGGGGAATCCTCCAAGCGATAAAGTGGGGAATCTCCACCCGACCGGTTGACTCGATCATTGTGCACACAGATAGCAGAAGTGCCATCCAAACATTGCAGCAGAACTCGATAGAGCTGGAAATAAAGCAATTATTCGCAGAACACGAATTGAACATAAAAATTAGATAGGTTAAAGCCCACATCGGAATCGAGGGCAATGAAAGGGCGGATACCCTAGCCAAGGACGCCATCGGATTGGAAGAGATATCCTACAACGAGGTTTCACAGTCACATATTAAGAAACTACTGAGGCAAGATACCATCACAGAATGGCAGGAACAATGGAGCTATTCAGAGAAAGGCAGATATACCTGATATACCTGATAAGGCAGATATAAGTGTTACCGAACTATTGTAACTCAAAGGAACACCTTAAAAGAATAGGTAAAGAGCAGGACATTTCCTGTGAATGTGGCAACGGCGATCATACGCTGGAACACGTAATAAAAGACTGCCTGAAATACGATAAGGAAAGAGCGCAGCTTAGGCTGCTCGCCTACGACTTATACGGCACGTTTTTGGTTTTGTACCAAATAATCAGGAATGATGATCTTCTACAAAAGTTAAGACTCTTCACGCGGAATCATTGTAAAGCTGGGAGCGAGTTGCTTCCAGCTGCTCGCTCCCTGCTTCTATCCTGAAGAAACGACCAGGGTCGTTTCTTCAGGATAGAAGGTTTACTCTGTAGTGTACAAAGTTCAATTTTAGTTTTGTTTGTTATTTCGTTATTATGTACCAAAAGAGATTAAGACAATAAAGATAACGTTTCCCCCGTGGTGCTAGTGCCGAGCAGGGGTGATTCTGATCTCCGAAAGGGGAAATGATGATCATTTAATGAAAAAAATAACCGGTGCGGGAACTGAAAGTGCCGACGAAGAGTGCGTATAACGCCGCTGGTGGAAGTCGAGATAGGGGTGACTGTCCCTCAACAAAGATCATATAAAGGTGTTGCGAGGGGAAACCCAGCTTACTATGCTGCGAGGCCAAGCTAAGCAAAATAGTCCATGAAAGAAAACCGACGGAATGGAAAAAATCAGACGGCGAAAGGTCGTCGACGCCAGCAGGAAAAAATGGCGACGAACTCCGTTAGAACGTAGCACTAAGCAAGACATCGGAAGAAGTCTCGCACGCACTCGAAACCTCTCGAGGAACTAAACTGAGCCCACTTTCAAACGTATTCCTAATTCTACTTGCACAAATACAGCAACTGCAATCGCGATTCGTCAAAACTCGATCCTCAAGTTTACGCGCCGGAGATCCAAGATGACGTCGGTTTGAAAATCCGAATATTTCTTCGACATTCAACGGCGCCTCCAAGTTAATAATTTTCTTGAGGAATTCTTACCTATTTATCGATGTACAGTTATTACTAATGGCTCGATTAACACGCGTTAAAAATCACGATAAGTACGCACGCATAGGCACGTTGTAATGCCTGAAATAAGTATTAAGCGTGTAAAAACCGCCAGTAATATACACTAAAATTTGAAATGCATACATACTTTTTTCTGCGAGCAAATACTACTAACATTTATTATTTCACACTTTTTGGGCGAGAGGGGATAAACAGTTAAATTGGTGCGGGATGCGAGTACACACATAAGTCGTGAGATCTAAGGTAGGAGTTTACAACAGGAAAACTTAGCATTAAGAGTTTATACCGAATGATTGAAAAGTCTCATTTCCCAATGAAAACTGCAAAACGAATCTTACAATTTCGCGGTGCTTGTTGAGAAAAATTAGACGATAACACCGAAATAGCTTCAAGTTTTCGGGGGTGTTTTGCACTCTTTCCGCCCTGTGGACACTAATAGGGTTTTTTAGCAAGCGCATTATTTTCAGCTTTTACAAATTTCTGTCTTACGAAGATTTTGCTTCTTGTAAGTTTCACTGTAGTGCTTTTCCTTCACTATTAGGCAATGAAAGAATTCTAGTTGGTTTATTTTAAATATTTTATTAAAAATCTATTATTATATTATATTTAGTTTTAAAATTTTAGTAATTATTTGTGCAGTTTCAAAGCGTAAAAATATAAATATATATTTTTTATGTTTTAAAAAATATGACAAAAACCATAAATTTGATTTACGTTTTGCAGAGGGCGCTAAAAATAGAAATGGATGATTTGTCTGGTGTGTGAAATTGACAAGAAATGTGGTTTGTACGTTTTTAACTAAATTTATTTACAATGATTTTTTTACATTAATTAAAGGATATTTACCTAAATATAGCCACGTGTTGATTTGCTGTAATGAATAAACGATTTTTTTTTTCAGCGTGAATGTTACTACACTTTCACAAAATGTTTGCGTGATACAAGGTGTCTTCGTCTCTAAACAGATGCAAACGTCCATTTACCTTATTAAAATCAGTAAGTATGCAGTATTAAGTATAAACATTTAAGTAAATAATTATGTGTTTCTTTCAAGCTGTAATTAAATATTTAATCAACACTTTCCAATCAGTAACGTGCAAGTAAAGATGACATTTCCATTAGCTTTACAGAAAACTAGCTGTACCCGTGTCAAAATATATCTATTATAAATGTATAACACTCCCCGCGGGAGGAAATTTCGAAAAATCCCTTCTTAGTGTACATTCTCTTGACGTACCCTATTAAAATGCAATCGAAAACGCAAAACACCGCATCTAAAATAGTATAATAGAAGCCGAGTTCGTCGCGGTAAGCCTTCGTTTTGTCCCCTCTCTGCAGGGGAAATTATCTATATAATATACGAGTTCGGACGCGTGCGCCGCGTATCTCGTCTACTGCGCCGCGCGGTTACTTATCTCGTATACGTACGCATCTCTCCACCCGCCGACACCAAAAATATAATGCTTACCTAGATGATATCTTTTAATTTAATTTATATGAATGTTTAATGGAATAATATATGGCCTGTGTCCGCTTCGAAGGACCGTTCCAAATATTGGTGAAAGAATTTTTGAAATCGGATGAGTAGTTTCGGAAATTACCTCCTACGTCCAAACTTACAAACTTTACCTCTTTATAATATTAGTATAGATATGGCGTTTGTTTCATTGGCTTTTATAAAATATTTAGAAACTATAATGAATTAATTAGCTTAAACGTTGGTGGTTAAGCTACAATCTTAGGGGTAATACTTGGAAATTAATTTTGAAATGTAATTAAATATCTTAGAAAAAGTCTACGTAAAGATTGACATGGACTAAGGAGAAATCTGCAACCTTTGCTTATATAACGAGTCTAAAATAAAAATTAAATGGAAATCTGAGAAAATAAAAGTAGAAATTGCAGCTTTAATTCTGCTTTGGCCAATTTTGCTTCCAGAATTGTCTATTTGCTAGAAGAATTTAATTAAATTTTAAAATTACTTTCTAATTATTTATGTTACGAAGGAAAGGTCTGATACATTTCTTAAAAATACTTAATAAATACTGGCTAAAGCCGAAGTTTGAGCTAATGACTGTAAAAACAGTTATATGCCAAAATATGTTTAATTGAGACATACGCTTGAATCGTGCCAGTTCGTGAATTTATGGATAAAAACTGGTCGTGGAATTTAAAAATATGAAGAGTTTTAACTATAGAATGATCTGTACAAAAGTAGTCTTACAGTGAATGTATATGACAAATGCTATTTCAATGCAAACTGTTCTAGAACATTTCTCAATGAAATCTGAATCAAAGCAATACTCAATCAGTATTTGAAAATATTCAAGATGATTAGACACAAAAGATATTTAAAAAATACAAAATGGGTCATGTTTTTAAATCAAGACTGAAAGCTAGTAGTAAATAAGAGACTGTTGATGGAAAAAGTGGTTTCTGTATCAAAAGAATATGCCTACAAGCTCTACTGGCATATCCTGTTGTCCATAACACCTGCAATTTTCAGCATAAACATCTCTAAGATCTAACTAACATATATTTTGGTTCTAAGACCTGTCAACCTCTAGGTCCTTCCACATGTGTCTTAAACATCCTTCTTTATACCAAATTCTGTAATTAAAATTCATGTTTAGCTTAATTCTTGTCCATAATCCAGTTTTTAGCTATTTTAGTTCAAAAATTAGATTATAGTTTATTAGTTTTATTAATTTCAGTTTTTCATATATTACAATAATTATGAACAAAATAAATAGTAATGTTCATTGTTGCTTTACTTATTTACTGGAATACCTTTTCTTCTTGTTTCTTCTCTTTCAAAGCTACAATGTTTTTTATTGTTATTGTTTTCTCCTTTGGATAAATCTCACTTCCTGACTATAAAAACAAGAAGAAAACATCAAATCCTATAAATCAATCTACTTGAATCAGTTTTTTTTTTTTTCTATTAGACATCATTTGTTACCAAATTTAAAAGCACACTTGATGCCAATTTTTGCAATAAAATGAGTAAATGACTTGAACAGCTGTCTTTCAGCTTTAAAATTATGTTTGCTTACAAAAAAATTGAATGCTAGTACTTTCAATCATTTTGTGCAATTTGGCTTAAGAAACCCTTGCACTCAATGGTTTCTCATACCACCTCAATCATTTGCCATCTCATACAGAAAGTTTGCCAACTCACTTCTGCATAGCCTTAGCTTAATTCATATTCTTCAAGTGATAAGTTTTAATGTTTTCTATTTCATAAGTCCATTCATTAGATAATCATATATTCTTGGATAATATGAAAATCTTTCATGCCTTAAGATAAAATTGACTTAAAAACTAAGTGATTATGCTATATGTGATTATCAAAGAGCATTTCTTGAAATGAAATACATAAGTATTTTCAAAATAAAATTTACTAAAGTGGAAGTTAGACTTCACTAATTTAGTCTAATCTTACAAGGGGACTAAGAAATGTATTTCATAGATTTGGATCATCCTTTGCTTTGTTAAACTGATGCAATAAAAACTATTCCATCCTACAGGTTCCACTTTTGCATTTTATTCAACAAAATTGTGATTTTAAGTATGCTTTTGAACCTGGGGATATCAGTAGATAATATTCCTATATGTATTATATCAGAAAACTGACAGGGTTTTGAGAAAATTAGCATTAAATCTGAGAGCAAAAGGACCTAAAGAATAAAGAATTAAAATACATTCATGACCTCAAATCACCTCAAATCGAACAAAATGCTGAAATAGAATCTACAATCTAACAGCTTAACAGAGGATACTTTTTAGTGTCCCAGAAGGCTGATCCAAATCTGTAAAATACATTTCTGAGCTTCTTGTTACTATTTAACATGAATGAATTCATGTTGGACACTAAGAGACTTTTTTTTCCCTTTGTGATGGATCCGGATGTCCCATTTTACTAAGCATAAAATGGGACATCCGGATAGTGAGGGATGGGTCAACTTCACTGAAAAATTCCTAAGCTAACTCACATTCAAACCCAGATTCTTAGAACAGCTATTAAGTGCCATGGTGATAAAGACACCAAGTCACAATGCCTTTATCATCTTGATCATTTAGTCATACTCAAATTTTGATTTAAAATGTTCTTGTTCAACATTTGAAGGTTTCTAAAATCTCTCCCATCTTTTTAAAGAAATTATTTCATTTCAGTTATTGAAAGAAAGAAAATCAAAGCAGTTTCTGTACTTCAGTAATGTCTAATATATACTTTAACCTTAATTATATCTTATAGATTAAGAATGGCTTCAGTTCAAAAAGAAAAGCCAAAAAGGAAGTACTTAATTGAATCCAGCTGTCTGTTTACAAACAGAGAATCTGCTGATCCACTTTCCAAATTTTCTATTAACTCATGTGATTTCCTGGAAGAACTTCCGGAAAGGAGTGCCTGTCCACGTTGCTACAAATCCAGACGATATTATTGTTACAACTGTTATGTTCCAGTAGATGAAATTAAAGAAAAGATTCCTTATCTCAAAGTAAATTTGCCGTTTTATTTTCGATTCTTTAAGCTTTTACTTTATATTAATTTAATTTTAATTTAATGTGACTTTCTTAGCTACCAGTCAAAATAGACATCATTAAGCATCCGAGAGAAGTGGACGGTAAGAGTACATCGGCACATGCGGCCATTCTTGCTCCAGACGACGTCAAGGTTTACGTGTATCCTGAATTTCCAGATTATGCAAAAGAAAAGGTTTTATAAGCTTACATTTATGTATTTATTTACTTTATACTTACAAGAGTTTTGAGATTTTTTAGAAGTTTTGATTCTTGACATAATAAAATTGGTTAATAGTTTATACCTTATGGTATAATTCTAAAATCATCTGCTATAAACTATAAAAACTTAAAAACAGTAAAAGAAAGAATTAAAATTTATTTCTCAACAAATATTTTTGAGTTTTAATTGCATTAGCCTTGCAAACTTTGCTCACCAGTGGCCAAGTGGATGTGAATCACTAAACACTAGTAGTTGGTCACAGGTTTGTGCCTGACTAATGGGCTGGCTATGTGAAGTTTCTGGGTTTACTTTACATATCTAACAGCTAATTAGGTACCATTTCCCACAGAGAATTTCTTGTGGACAGTCCTTTCCAAATATTCAGTTCCTGTCCCTTGTCGTCCTGCTGTTCACGGTCCTGGCCAAATCTTTAATGGGAATGATTAAAATGGGTGCTCTTACTGTCCATAGGACCTAAAGAGAAATAAAAGACTATGCGAACTAGTGGTAATGAAAATAATTCAGATTAAAAATAGAGGTGACAACTTCTCTTAAGGAAAGTAACTAAAATTCCACAACAACCCTAAGGACAAGTTAAACAAAAATTTGCACTTTTAAATAAATTACGATTAAATTAACTTGACGTCTGAAGGTTTGTTCTCATCTGTTGTTGATTTGATGGCTGAATGGTAAAGTCGTACTATCGTGATAACCTGGTCCAAATTCTATGGTTTATCACAAGTAGTATATATACAGGAATCATTTCTGGTTTTTTACCTATGTTAAGTTACCACATTGTAGGTTGTTGTCATTACCTTGAGTGTAATTGTGCTAGTCACATAATCTTAATGTAGTGTTACCTCATTTTAGCTAATTAATCAATCAAACTTTTCTACCAAAATGTAGTTTTTGGAACTGAATGTGCTGGATGAGTATCATTGTGAATATTCAAACTGATCATAACAAAACAAGTGAATATTTTTAATGAATGAATGTAAGTAGAATATGTTATTTTAACACTTGCTATAACATCCTAATTGAATAAATTTACAATTTTTAAACATTTTATGTCATTCATTGCATCAGTCCAGATCACAATATTGAGTTCTGATTCAAGAATCTGAACTTCTGTTAACCAACTCACAATTTAACTGAAAATATTTTAGGAAAAATTTAAAATAACTCTGCAAAACATTACTTAGTAAGGTGTAATTTCAATTTTTGTTACAGGTAATTTTAATATTTCCTGGCAAGAATGCTATGCATCTCAGTGACTATTTTGAAGAGAATATGAGTAAGTTTGACCAAGGAAACTTAGAATGTGATAAAAATAAATTATTCCACAACAACTTGCCTCCGAATAGTTGCAGGAAGACAAGCAATACACAAGAAATTACAAATTGCCAAAACATGCAACGAAATCAATTTAACCATAATTTGCCATTTGACAAAGTTGTTTTTATCGACAGGTCAGTTAATACAGGGATAAAATGTTTTAAATTATCATTTTTCAATCCAAATATTGAATTCTGTATTTTTTTCAGCACATGGAAGCAAACAAAACAAATATACAGCAATGAATGTATACGAAGTAAGTAAATAAGTTGTAAAATGTATGCAATGTTTATTGGAATTTATATTAATTTGGATGCTTAATTGGGTTGCAATTTGAAAAAATTGTAGACCTATAAATTTTCATTGTCATCTGTCTGGCTGTCTGTCCTTCCTTAATCTCAAGAACAGAGTTAGATAGATGAAAGTTGAAACCACTTTAGGTGCAGGAGGCACCTAAACTGGTTTCAACTGATTAACTATGTAGAGCTGAGTGTCATTTATCCGAAAGCCAATCAATCGAAACATCGGTTAACCAAAAGCTTTCAAGTCAGACTGTGTCATGCTAAATCGAATGTTTTTGATACTAGATTAACTTCCAAAATATAATTTTTTTGTTTTTATATTTTTTAACATATTTATTTTGTTTGTACAAAATAAAGAAATAATTTTTAATGATACAATAGCCACGATTATTATTTTAAAAAATTTATGTTAGGCTTAACATCGATGAAAATTCGATGCGAAGCAACATGCAATGGAGAAAAGTTTCAACATGGGATAGGTTAATATATTTTTTTGTACATAATCAGTTATCTGAACAACCCCAGTCCCCAATTGATTTGAATAAATGACGCTCTACTGTATGAACTTCCAGTTTGCACTGGAAGTCACATTATTTCAGTTCAAAAATTTCCCCTGAAAGGTGTTGGATAAATGACAAGCACATCTCCATTGTAACAGGAAAAGTATGATGTACAGGGACAAAACACTACTAATTTGAAGTGGAGAGTATTTAATTTAAATTAAATAAATTAAAAGTATGATTAAAAATTGAAGCTCAGCATTGTAATGATATCCAAATATATAATTGCTCATTATCTGTAAAGTCTGTAAAAAAAACAAAAAAATTTGTTTTAAAAATTTAGTTTGAAACAAAAAGCAGATATTATAATTTGCATGTTTCTTGTATTTCTGAAAGGAATTTAAATCTACATACCATATAAATAAGATATAAATTTATTTTTCACCATCTTCTTGACAAGAAATGATAATTCTTTGCCTTTCTTGAAGCGAGGACATCACTAAGAAATGATTAATTTTTTCTTCAACTTTTGTGTTATAAATTTGCAAAGCATAATTGGGAAGTATTGAAACATTATCATAAAGGACGACATCTTTACTATAAAATAAATTAGCTTTTCCATGTATTTAAATGATTTATAGTAAGATACACATACAAGTAAAGAATATCTGCATTTATGTATGTCCAATTTCTTGCTAAGAACAGTGCACTCACACTAATCCAAATTATATTATTGTATTTATTTGAATGTAAGATGCACATTTTTCAGGTTTTATTATCTCTGAAAATAGGGTATTTCTTAGGTTTGAGATAATACATCATAATTAGTGCCCTCCAGTGTCATGTGTCTTATTTCTCTGTCGCTAATTTCTGTGCATCATTTTAATGATTTTGTTAGACATATACTCACAATAACAAAGGTTTAAGAGGTCAACTTAGCTCAATCTCATTAGTATATTACATTAATGATAAAAATTCCAGAAAAAGTTGTACAATAGTCTATCCGATTATTCAAATAGTATTATAATAAATATAGTGGGAAGATATGAGCATTGAATTTAGTGCTGATTCAGAGTAGAGTAACATAGAAAGTGAAGAAGATTCTGACTTGAATACCACAGAATGTGGCAATTTACTTTACTGTGCAATAAATACCAAACAAATGTAGGTAAACAGAATCAGCTCTGTTGACATAAATTTATTTCCAGTCTTCTATTTTTAATAAAAGTCCATGAGTGAGCATGTAGAAATTAAGGTGAGTTTTAGATTCTTGTTGCAATTTGAATCTGTTCTTGATGGCTTTAGCTTTAGAAAGTTTTTTTTTTAAATTTTTTCCTTTTTAATACATTTTGATCTGTTGGCAGTAAGATCTTTTTCCATAAGCCATTTTTGCTTTAGCAAGGCTGACAATGGGAATGGCTGGACAATGCGAGATGGGGCTCAACATATCCTGAACAGCAGACTGCCCATAAAAAGTTTCTGGGGAGTCACTTGCTCAGATTCATTCCAGAATCTTTTGGAGCTGTAGGCTGATGTCTTAACTTTCTCTACCAAAAGGCATATATCAAATGTGAGATACTAATACATTTTAATTTTGGTTCCAATTAGCAATAATGCACTGTATTTCTAAGTAACATACACAGATGCTGACTTACACTGATTTACACTGTACACTGACACAGATGCTGACTTACACTGACTTACACTGATTTACACGGATTTACACTGTATATTATTTGTCATTCTGTTGATAAATTTTAGTTATAAAACCTATTTATTAGTACAAGAAATGAAGGTGAATTTAAAATTTTGAAAATGCTTTTTAATTGAAGTGTTCAATGAATGTGATTTTAGCATTGATAAATTTCATATTTCACTTACAGTACTGTAATTGTTGTTTCATGAGTTTGTATTTTGTAATTTTTACCAAATCTGTAGCAAGTATAGTCCCTTTAGTACAGTAGTGATATATTCATTATAAAACAATTACAACTGCAGAGATTAAATGTGATTACAGTACTTTCTTTGTTTTATGTGATCAATCCTCATATAGTTAATAATTAGTAATAGTTGACATGAGACAACATTCATTTGTCAGTTTCATTTATTAGAGCAGTTTTATTGTATAAATGAAATAATATCATATTCCTGAATATGCTAATAGAATGAATTTTGATTCCTATCAAAATTCATTCTATTAGCTTTCGTTTATCATATGGAATTGTATTATATGATAATCCATCAGTTGTCAAGTGGATAAAACAACTGAACAGTAGTTGGTCATGGATTCATGCTCCCAACAGGCGAATTTACTTGGAGTTTCTGGATTTTTTCAATTGTCACCTAAACAGACCAAATTCCTATAGAAGATTTCCTGAAAGATACTTTTCTTAGCAGATAACCCATATGTTACACTGCTTTATTCCATCAATCCCAATCCAAATGTTTAATATGATAAAGGTGAGATTTCTCCAATATACTGGATGTCTTAAACTACCGTATATTTTTGCAGATAAGACGAGGTATAAATTTTTGTCAAAGTTTTATAGTTTTAGCATATATCTGTCCTATAAGATGACTCCCAAGCTATCAACAGTCTATGAGTTTAGTTTAGATCAGCAATCATCATCTGGATAATAATACTGTATAGCATATATGGAATTATGTCCTATTCATAATTTTTCCAATGAAAAAATTATGAATAGGACATAATTCCATATATGCTATACAGTATCGGGTAATGACCTTGACTATTCACAAAAATGTCGTATGGGCTATTCTATTTTGTGGACTCTCTACTAGTAAATAATTACAGTTTGTCCATTTTTTTACAATTGTTTTAATTTATATAAATTTCAATTTAATTTTTTTTGTATCTGTCCTATAAGATGACCCCAGATTTTGGGGATCTTTTTTCGTGATTCAACTATCATCTTATCTGCGGAAATATACGGTATTTATTTAATGTATAAGCATTTTTACTTTGCCGTTAATCACACTTGCCAAGATATATACTTGTTACAAATATACTAATGAATGACAAAATGTTGTGTTGTAGGAATTCATCTTTTATGTTATTCATTATCCCATTACCTATATTTAATATTTTAAATATAGGTAATGGGAGTGATGCTTCAAACTGTTTTTGGTTACTAGAAAAAGTCATAATTTAGTTTAATTACTTGCTTCTTTCTTCAGTTTTTTTTTTCTGATTTTTGAAAAGATTCTTCAAACAAAATTTCAAGACACAAGGCAGCTTGGGATGATATTCAAATGCAGTTAAAGAGTTGAATCTTATTGATTTTCATTCCTATCAGACAAATATTTTGTAGGAATATCATTACAGTATAGTCCCAATTATTCAATGTGATGTGTACAGAAGGTACCACAGATAATCCGAATGTTATGCAAATTATTAGGTAAACTGGATTTGGATTCATTAGTGCATACTCTATTTGTAAGTTTAAACCACTTATTGATTACCAGATATGACTTTGATGAGATTTCTGAATTGAAATGTATTGTACTACATTCTCTTAACTCTGTTGAGAAGGTTTTCTTTAATAATTCACCTCAAATATTATGGAATTTTAGTTAAACTGGGGTCAGTCAATCAGGACTCTACTATTATTATGAAATGGTGAAATGAGTTTGTTTCAAATGAAATTACAGTATACCAAAAATTTAGTTTTAGAAACATATTATATCAATTATAATTACTTTTTTAATTCACAGTTAGATGGCATAGTAATTAAGATGGCAACCTGCTGCTCTGAGCACCTAGGATTGATTCCAGATGGGTCCGAACATCTCAAAGTTTTTTGGAGGGTGGAATTTCCAGAAGTTTTCTCTCCAGATATGTTGTTCCCATTCCTTTTGCTATCCCAGTCATTCCATTGTGAGCCTAGTCAACTCACAATAGGCATGCTAAAAAGATCCTCTTACTGGTTATAGCCATAGGGCAGAAAGAGTTAATAATGTTTTTTTTAAATAAGTACAAGTATGTTCTGATGTGACATAAATGCTCATTTGGAACATCAAAAGTTTCTCTGAAGAGTTTAAGAATAGTTTTAATTTAGTTTGTTTTTTTTAATGTAAAACCTGTACTTAATATTTTATAAGATTATCTACAAACAATTCTCTCATTCAGTTAATAATGGTGAGTAGTTAGTTTTATACATGTTGCTAAGTTTAACTTGATAACATTTTCAATAGTTTGCATTTGTGTCAGATGGAAGTTTCTAATAAAAAATTTCTTGCTTTTATTTCTTTGTATTACAAGTTTGATGAAATGTGATTGCTAATTTCTTTGTTGTACAGCTTGTTGGAATCATTTTTTGTAATTGTTAATGAAGTCACGCTTATCAACTCAAAAATATACTGTATAAGTGCTTTTGACAAGTTTTAAGCCAAACATGTCTTCAGTACTTAGGATTTTCTAATCTCCACAAAAATTTCTGCTGATTATCCCTTAAATCTTAAAACTCATAAAAATATACTAAAATAGAATGACAAACAAAAACTTTCATTCAGGATGCTTACTCACAATGTTCTCAATATGCAAGTTCAGAAAAAATCAATACCCGATTAGCAGTTTTAACACTGATAATTTTCTCTGTATATAGCAGTGCTTTCGAGTGGCCCAAGATAAAAGTTTGGGTACAAATATATTAAACATTTCTATTAACTTAAAACAGTTAATTATATTAAGGCTTATATCAGTTAACATGAACACAAAATTTCTTAAATTTAATATATATTTAAGTTTACAAGAAGTGATTTTACAATAACTTCTATCTTTTGCATGTTTGAATCCACTTCAGGACATGTTTGCATTTGTCACCTTTTAAATAACTAGTTTAATGGAAATTATCATTTATGCTCTGGAAGATATATAATATTGGACTTGAATAAACTAATAACAAAATAATGCAGTTAGAAAGCAAAACTGGCAAAATTATCCTTTGTTGAAAAAATTATGTAAATAAAGAAACAAGATACAAATTGATGTTTTTTGAAATGATTAATACTGTACTAAATATATTGTTTCAGGTCTTCCCTGCATCATGTTGACTTCTCACAGATCATTATTCTGGAGGCATCAGAGAAACAAACCTCCCAACTATTTATCTACCATCGAAGCCATCTACTACTTCCTAGTAGAACTGCATCGCAAAGTCCATCCCGACGTAGCCTACCGGGGCGAATACGACAACCTCTTATTTTTTTTTAAATACATGTATAATAAAATTCGTACTCTGTACGATCCCAAAAAGCTGAGAGCTTACCAAGACTGAAAGCTGCGATTTCGTATATACAGGTATAATACAGGTGATTCGTACTTTTAGTTAACGATTGTACCGTTCTCGTTTACTCAGATTCAGTTTTTGGTAATAACACAGTTAATGTTTCTGATATTTATTTTTTTACATTAATTAGTTGTAAACTGCATTTTTAATTAGAAGTATGTTTGGAAAATTGTTTTATCGTATTAAAGAATGTTACACAAGTAGCGTGTACTCTTATTATTCAATGTAGTAAGGGTGATGCGATGTGTATAAAATCACTTTAATTCGGATCGGTCGATTTTTCTCACGGCTTTAGAAACACCGAGCTAGATGACTCAAGATTTTATTGTAGTATATTTTTAAACGGGTTAAACATCATATGCATTTTTGGCTATTATGACTCGATAGCCCCAAAATGCATATGATGTATAATCTGTTTAATACGCTACAATAAAGTCTCGAGTCATTAGCTCGGTGTTTCTAAAGCCGTGAGAAAAATCGACCGATCCGGATTAAAGCAATTTTATATAAATCTTATTATTTACTCGGCTCACGATTGTTCTACTGTATAGAAATGAGAAATAAATGTTTTTACACATTGCAGTTACTCTGTTTCTGGGAGTTGAACACGCATTGAATTTGAATCATTGTAATTAACTGCCATTATTGAAATGATTCAGGAAATCTTGGTGGTTTAGACATACAATGCAAACTTTGTTCTCATTTACAACCCATGAGTGATATGTAAATGCAGTGTGGATTTTTGTCATTGTAGATAACAAATTTTTGCCATTGATCACTCCTGGATTTTGGACCATGTTTTCAGTGCTTATCCAAGGGATAAAGACAATTGGCATCTTTATTTTGTCAATTTCACATCACATTTTAAACTCGTTGATTATAAAATCAAAGAGATGATGTCAAATTGATATTAACTTCCAACATGATGGCACTAAAATTGTATCTTTAAATCTGGCAACTTATCTGCCGTTTAAAATTATTACATTTGAGCTAAAGTTCTCATACATATATAAAAATATTAATCTCGGTTCTTTTCCAATTGAAGGAATTTGAGAACGTCATTCGTAATAAAATTCATTGATGTTAGAAACGTTAAATGAAGTGTTTATGTGATAACATCAAATCGTTTACAAAAGAAAGGTGGCCCGTCCACTGACGGAGCATACAAAACGCCGTTAGCCAGCACCAAACACTGATGATTGGCAACTATATATTAGAGCTGGGTAGTTCCGATCGGAACCGTTCCAAGGGGACTATTCTGGACTCGCAACTACTAACGCGTTCTTCATTCTGTACTTTTACGAATATGGTTTTCCACGGAACTGTAAATTCTTTATTTAGATTTGAACTTGAACTAATGAAAATGTTCCACGGGATTTAGGAATAATCAAATTAGTTTAGAGTACAGTATTTTAAATTTACACAGATGATAATTATTTGTTTTATTAGTAACCAACAGATATGCCGACATTGCCCGTCCAAATAGGAAATGGCTAAACGTTAAAATGAAAACCATATTACAAATTTGGTTATTTTTAGCTTAAATTAAATTATTGTGTTTATCGCGAATCGTCGAGGAAATCAATCGGGGGAAGCGTAGTATTCGAATTTCATGAAAATATATATTTTTTCCCAGAACCCGCGAGAAGAGAATAAGTATGAAAAATTTGTTGATGATAAAACTAAGGGTTAAAAAAGGGGGATGAAATCGGGAGAGGTAAAGTGCCCAGTTTTTGGGATGGTCTATATTTTCCTCAGATTCCGAGTTTCAACGTTACGTAACGATACCGAGGAACCGTCTAACTTAATAGTTTAGATGGTTGGAACTGATCCGAGTCCGGATCAGTTCCATCAGATCTAGTTCCAGATCCTGTTCACATTGTGTTGTGCAGGATTTCCAATAGTTCCAGTTCTAGCAGAGGAACTGGATCTGCCGCATCTACTATGTATAATTCCCCAGGTCGTTATTTCTCATCCTCTACTCATTTGAAGCTCAAGCCCTTATGTATAGAAATTGATTCTGTGACATATATTTTGCAAAAACTATTGAAATAAGTAATCAAATTATTATTTTTCTATTAAATTATACGTAAATTTATGTTCATAAACTCATAAATTCAAGTTAAAAAAGAAAATTTAAAAACTAATTTGTTGTTAAAGATATTAACACCAGGAGGTGTTTATACACGATCTCTGCGGTACTAAAACAACGACGGATGACTCGCTTAGAATAACATTTAAATACAAAAATAAATTTAAAAAAAAACTAAAAGTATAATAATTCCCGGAACGAATTATAAATGCATCAGATAAACAAAATATAAATTAAAAGCGAAATTTCGGTGACGTCACGAGAACATTCGAGTGCGGTGCTGCTTCCACGTTCATCTTGTCAAGAAGGCAGCAGAAAGCGTAACGAAATGGGTCTGAAAAGACGTTCTTCTACGAAAAATCCACCGATCTTCAGCCACGAATTCGTCATACAGAATCATGCGGACATCGTGTCGTGCATCGCCATGATATTCGTTATCGGCCTGCTCTTTCAGGTAAGCCGAAATTCCGTAATTCGTGCCGGAGGAGTAACGTGTTCGTTCGAAAATCCATCTCCATAAAGACCAGAATTTCCGAAAAACCCGCGATTTTCCACGTGATTCGCCCGTGCAGCGGTCCAGTAAAGTAAACTTCACTCTGTTTCGTGCCAATTCCTTAATTGTAATTAAGAAAAACGCGTTTAAGGCGTTAAATACGTTTCTGAGGGTAATTAACGTTGCTGTTAGTTTCCGTGCCTAATTGTAATTAATTTCCGTGGAGAAGATGCAGTTAAATATGCTCAAATGCGTAAATAATGGGGATCAATATGGTAAGTTGTTGCAGTTGCATCCATGCAATGACCTAAATACTTGAGTAAATAAATATAACACAGTTTAACTTGTGTATTTTTTCTCACTTCCTCAAAAGTACTAAAACTTTTGATGGTAAATTTGGTGAAAATGATATAAAATTCACAGTTTGATCACTAAAATTGATAAATGTGCCTCTTTCTGTATAGAAAATGTGTTAACATATGTTACTTGCATATGTTTCGTGCTGTGTTGTGCAGGATTTCCTGCAACGCCTGGAAATATTTGCCTTTTGGTAATTTGCCTGATGAATATTTGGTTTCCAGTTGTTGTTTGCAAATATGCAATGTTTAAGCATTCTTTTGTAGTATACTTCGTGCAAAATTAGCCGTTTTATTTGCGATTTAATCCGTGTCTATGCTTCCGAATGAATATTGTTGGATGGAAACTAAAGTTACGTTGCATATTCTTAATTTTTGTCATTAAAAACTGTTTCTGGATGTTAAGTGCTGCGCTTTGTTGCTTCTTGTTTGTTAAGTCTTCGTCTTTTATGTGACGTTTTCGGTGATTTACGTAAATAATAATCAATTGGAGTTTATGCATCCGTGGTGTTTACGAAGGCTTTCGTTATAGGATTTATGCTTAATTAGCTGTCTTGCTGGTTAAACGTTAGGCAAAATGGTTAATTGAGCGTACCGAGTTTTGTTCGAAACGTACTTAATTGGGTAAAAATTTGAGCTGGTGATTATAAATATTTTATATAATTCAAAGTTATATTATTAAAAGCAGTTACTATTATTGTTTTTCTACGAAAGCTATGGTAACATATGTCATTCGGATATTCTCAGTTGCAATCTGTCATCAAACAGCGACCTGATTCTTGATATACTTTGGTGATTTGCATAACGTATATCTAATTACATTTGTTATTCTTTTGTGGCTCTATGCAAACACTTATAGTGGCATTATATTTGTACCATTCATCAATTTATGCATTTTAAATGAGTTGCAGTGAGTGTTACTAGCCACAGATTTTCTTTGTTTTGCGAATCTAATAGTAAATTTTAGTTTGATGCATATTCATGTAGCATGTCTTGTATTATTCATTAAGTAAATTGTGATTACATTTTTACGTTCGATAACCTATTTTGAAAGTAATCGTTGGTTATAATTTGATAAAATGGATGCTTTAGCAACATAAATTTTAAAGGAATTGCTTGATTTTTTACTATAAATAATTATTTGGCAGGGCTGGATCGTCTTTTTGTATCTGTAAAGTTGATTTATATGGGAAAACTATTGTGAATTCTGTACTGTTGTTTTTAAAAGTCTAGTATTTATTCAGTTTTATGAAATTTGGCACATTTCTTACAATTTCATTTGACAGCTGTGGCTAATAATAAATTCTTTTGTTAAAATTTTAATATCTTTTGAAAGCAATCTGCTTGTTTTAACAAATATTTTCATGAGAGACTGTGATGACAAAATTTTGATTTGGGTCAATTGAAATGTAAAAAAAACTGGGCTGGGGAGTTGGAATCAGAAGAAATTTTGGGTGGAGTTGGAGTCAACAAAAATGTACCAAATTTGTACTTCAACCTTGACATAAACTCATACTTAAGCTAAAGACATACTTATAACCTGTCTAGTAAGTCTAAAAAGTGGCATTAAGATCACATGGTAGAGGTGAACTATTGTACGGTATGATATCATTTACCATTATTATGTATATACAGAGCTTTTGTGCCTGAATGTGGGGTTGTGTATACTGACTCCAAGGCTTGGAAAAAATGTTTGCCTTGACTAGAAATCTTGTAGAACAATTTTTGTATTTCTACTGTGTTTCCTGCCATTTTTTGATAAAATATTTGTTACTTAAATTTGTTGAGGAAAGCAAGAAAATCTCCTTATATGGTGTGCACTGTTTTATGAAAAGTTGTCGTTCCTTGATGCATCTGGTTATTTTTATGGGTGCCATGTATTAAATGCTTGTAAAGAAAAAATATGTGAATTTAGAATAGAAATATTGCCTGTAGAGCTAATTGTGTGCTCTTTCTGCAGAAGAACAATTAGGAAAATTGTTCATTTGTATGCCAATTTAAATTACTTGCTTGGTTGAATAATAGTTTAACAAAGCAGATACATATTTTTTTTACTTGTCCTTAATGACAATTAGTAAAAGTATTTTCTTGTATGTATTTTTAGAGTTGTTTTTTTTATTTAGAAAACTTGAAGTTGTCATTCATGTATAGCTCCAGTTTTCTGTTCAAAGTGATGCAGAACTGTTAGTTTTTATTTTCTTGTTTGTACGGTTTAGTTCCAGTTTTTCTGTAAAAAACTGTGCAGTGCTCAGATGACAACTCCAGTTTTTCTAAGTGTGAAATGTCTTGCCACTTTTAAAAAGTAACTAGGCAGTAGTGGATGCATCTGACAACAAGCAGACCAGCCTAGTATGTTGCCATCCTGCAAAATC